GGAATCAATCAAAATTCGCTGGAGGAGAAATACTTATGTGATTGTTTGACACAGCATGGACTCACCCTGCACTCCATCGGCACCACGCGGTCCAGGCTCGCCTGGAGGACAATAGAAACATCCTTTTGTGATTTTCTGAAAGCAAGATCTCGGTCAAATTAAAGAGATTATGCAGATCTATAGAGCAATTCACCGAAGGTTCACTAGGAACGGCGTCAAAACCGTCGTAGCCATCAGTACCATCGACACCGTCTGTTCCGTCTGGACCCTCTTCTCCAGCCGGGCCAGGTGGTCCAGGAGGGCAAGAGTTGTTGAAGAGACATGCTCAAACGCAGATATCAATAGTGCTCGAAAGGCCACTTTTTGAAGAGAAAGAAGATTGACAGTGGGACTTGTTGGACCTTGGTAAACGGAGAGCCCGGATGGTCCGTGCAGACCGGGTTAATGGATTACTTGAGGTCGTGGACCATGCGAACCCTCTAGTCATTTTTTTTCCAAGAGTGCCTGGTCCATCTAAGGGTCCGAAAACATAAGAATGGGGGAGCAATTGAAAGCGAATGGAAAATCTTCACAGAATTCCCCAGCTTTCTGAGCAAGGATACCACGGAACAAGTTGTAACGAACAATTCCTTTCATTTCTATTCGTATCGCTTCTGTGCTATACGCCTGTAAGAGAGCTACGAACGATATCTGGCCTCTGATCACAATCTTTCCAGTCCAATGGAAATACCACCACACTTTTACTACAATTTTCGATGAACATGACCTCTACCGGAAGTTTTTTTCGTACTAATTAAAGACTCTTCCTACACATTTTTTGCCAGCTCATATGCGCTTTCTGGGTGCAGTAACAATAACTCTAATACTCTGCGGGTACATATCGGAGGATCCTGTATTTCGGGTGCGCGCTGCAACTAGTTAGTATGTCCTGGCTAGCTGACTCGATGCTGTAGCAGTTCCATATTGAATCAGTTAGGTGGTAGGTGAAAGCTGAGTATGTTACGGCACTTTGCTGCAACGTGAGTCTGTGACTGTTACACCTACTTCAAAAAGGCTTAAAATTAAAATGATCTCGATAGTGCATTGGTGTGTGGTAGAACCTCACCACATGACAAGTATGACAGTGAGGGCGGTGATGAAGCGTAGTCTTCATCTTGTATCGCTTCCAACTTGATTTCCTCCAGTACTTGCCTCCTTATCCTGGTCGACAGGGGAGACGATTCTGACAACAGGTTCATCTCCTTCCAAATGTAATCCGTATCCTCCTGTAGAAATAATTATTCGGAAAAAGAACCAGGAAACCCATTCAAAAATAAGACCCGTGAATTTGGTCCCCACATTTTCTTCGTAAAGTTACATACCTTGAGCTGTTTCAATTCAGAGATCATTTCGTCTTCGATAGATTCGATGTACGTGAAGAGCAATGCCGTCGCTGTAACCACGGTAAGCACTGCGGAGAAACCAGCAATCATAGCACACGTTAGAGAGCGAGGCTTCATCTTTTTTTCTAAAACTATTTATGTTGAGTCATCGGTATATATCACGAATCAAAATCCAGTGCAGGCCGCAACGATTGTATGGGTCGAAATGTGGGCGGAGACAGCTAACAGACTGCGCCGTCGTCATTGGTGCGCTGCCTTTTGAAACAGTGAACAGGAGAAGATTAGACGATCACTGATTCCTCCCCTGTGCGGAATGTTCGCTGAATTATTGACAAAGCACAACTAAAAACGAGAGAGGACTACTTAGAGCATCAACTGTTTTTTTAAGTTATTATAGGAGTCACTCATCCCGATGCCTACGCAACACGGCACATCACTGCGACGGAGTAATTGTTCCTCAGTACAACTCCTCTACCTCCAACTCCATGGAGCGAGAATAGGTAGGTCCTTTCATGTCAGCTATCAGAAAGGGACAAAGTGCCACGGTGCCAGATAGAGGGGTCAGCTACACAGCGCATATTCCTGCCCACCACACAGTGGACTGAACACTTACTCTTTGTGTGCTGCTTGCGTCGATACCAAGATTGGGCTGCGAAATGCACACTCAGCAGTAGAGAACAACTAAAGGTGATGAGGGTGCAGAAAAGTGGCGCGACTGGATATGGTTAGGCGTGAGGCTGGACGCATGCTAGCGCGGGCGGGGTAGAGATCGTAGCTGGCTTTCACTGTCCTCCAGCTCCGTTCCCATGCACTTCGAGCGAAGAAAGTGGCACGCTACTGCATCTGCAGACCCATTCACCCCGCATATTGCAGCGACCTAGGATCCATGGAGTGTGCACTTCGACCTTAACTTGTACGCTTGCTGGATCGACTGTTAACCTTGAAATAGTGGCCCCTCGAAAGCTTGAGGTCATCAAATAGAGTGCGATGATGGTGGTCATCAAGTAGTGAAATTCTGATGATGGTCTCTTTGTGAGGATTAATGACTGAACTGCATATTGCCTGCTACGCCAACGGATTGAATAAGGTAAGCGGTCAAGGGGTTAGGGGAAGCGGTCAAAGGGTTAGGGGCTGATTCTGATGAATGTGGCATCCATTTGACACCGCTCGTTTCTCAGGTAAGTAGGCCCTTCAACAGTACATCACTTTTCTGTACTCCAACATGTTTCGCGGTATACGGATAGGGCGGAGACTCACGAACATGGTGCTACCCTCTACGGTTTGCCCTGCTTCCAGTGAGGTGAAGAGGATTTCGAGAAAGGCTTATCGCTCACAAGTCCCCACCTATCCCATTGTTATGCGAACTATTTGTAATTTCGCTTGGTTCTTATTAGCTTGGTTTCTTACTCCATCACTTCAGAGCGGAATCTTTGTGCATAAACATCTCACACAGTAAGAAAATATGAGCACTTGTAAGCAAGAGGATGAAGTGTGCGCCATTGATCAATCCATTGGGATGCGGCACGCATCTACTTCAGTTCAGAAGCTGAGAAGAGAGTGGCTTATCGAATGTACAACGGCTTCTGGACCGGGATTTGGTCCCCGGACCGTTCGCGTGGTAAACTTACCACTTGCCACTACATCACCTCTACCTCTGAGATGACTTATACGATGTCTTAACTTCGACCAGACTGGCGTTCTTCCAAACACCCATTGCCACCAGCTGGTTTCGGGTGGGGAGGATACATGACATTATATATATATTAGGTTGTCCGGAAAGTTCTCAGCGTTTTGGGTGTTTCACTTTAAACGATCGTAACTTTTTTAATACTCATCGGATTTAATCGAAATAGGCACCATTCGAATCAGCACACTTTTGCCAATGTGACAGCAGTCGAGAAATCCCATCAAAGAAAAAAACTGGGTGGTCGAAAATCCACGAAGGCTTTTTTGCCTGGTCCTGATTGATGAAGTATTTTTCCAGCAAGGAAGTTCTGAAAATGTTTGAAAAGGTGATAGTCGGTTGGTGAAAGGTCTGGAGAATATGGCGGTTGAGGTAGAACTTCAACCCCCAATTCGTTCAATTTATGGATAGTGATTTGTGAAACGTGTGGGCGGGCGTTGTCATGCAAAAGAATCGGACCCTTTCTTTTGATAAGTGTTGGCTGCATCTGACAAAATTTTCGGTACAATTCGATTTCTTCACAGTAGGGTTCTGCTGTGATGGTTTGGCCTGGTGATAAAAAGTTATAGTGGATCACACCAGCCGATGACCACCAAGCCGTGACCAGAATCTTTCGTGAGGGTTCGGCTTTGAAAATTACCTCGGTGGTTCGTCGAAATCCAACCACTGTCCGGAACGTCTCCTGTTATCATACATGACCCATTTTTCATCACAGGTGACAATTCGGCCCAAAAACAGGTCGTTTCTGCTGCGCAAAAGCAATGCAGAAGGAACCTCGAGACGTGCCGATTCCTGCCGGTCACTCCGATTGTGGGGCACCCAATTGTCGAGTTTTTTCACCTTCCCAATGCGTTCCAGACCATCTGCAACAGTGGATTTGCCAAGGCCTAGCTCTTCTGCTATCTCTCGAACTGTTTGGGATGGGTCAGCCTCCAAAATCCCCCTAAAATCCTCGTCAGATATTGCTTTAGGTCGACCGCTATGAGGTTCATCTTCAAGGCTGAAATCTCCAGAACGAAATTTGTTGAGCCATTGCCGCACAGTGCTTTCTCTAGCACTATTGGGCCCCACACCTGGTTAATTTGTTGAGCTGTTTTCGATTGCGGATTGCCCCAATTTATAGTCGAAGAAAAAAATCGTCCGAAGTGCTCTTTTCACATGCTTGAAAAAATCTTGAAAAAAGGGGGTTTTAAGCAATGGTGAAACGGCAATTATACCATCAGATAGCGCAAGAAATTCTCTACAGGATGTGCTACTGAGAAGCAAGGCAGAATGAGTTTTTAATCAGCAGTGAATGTACAAAAAATAGGTGCACAAAACGCTGAGAACTTTCCGGACAACCTAATAGTTTGTACATTGCAATTTGTCGGGGGCGGCGAGCGCAGCGCGGCACGAGCTCGCGTCCGGCCGCCTTGCTCTACCAATGGTGATCGAGCAATGATCGATGTAGGAAGGAATCAGCCACTGGTGGGAAGGCCGCAGGTGGGAACCGCTGATTGCGACCCGACAGGTTGCGGTGACATAAACTGTAACCAAGAAAACTTCGAATAAAGGCTGCAAGTGCTTCTGGAAAGTGCAGTAGATCGGGCACCAGCACTCACTTTATAAGCCATTCCGTAATTAGGTCAATGAAGACACCTATTTCGCCTCAACTCTTCGAGAACTACATAAAACACACCCGAGACCGTGGCGACAACTATTAGTCCAGTGGGTTTACGACCAGCAAACGACTAGTGCATGTTCACAGCAAGTTTTATGTGACCACTGGCACACATAGTGGGGTGAGAAAAGGGGTTGCTACTGATTTTTTGCGATTAAAAGAAGGAATTTCAAAATACAAGTAATTTCAAAATTCATACAGAAAATGTGGGGGAGGGGGGTAGGAACGGAAAACAGGATGCGAATTTTTAACAATATAATGTTGCCTTTAGTAATCTACCGAGGCCAAGTTAACGTCGCACGATGCGCATGGGAATCCAAGATCACATTTCTAAAGTATTTCTTTGTAAGAAATTTCCTCCCCCACGACCTTCACGGGAGGATGCTGAAGACATTCATAATCTCCATCGAGGACCATAACCGCGGCAAGCTTACGGCTGAGCACGTACTGAAGGCGTTTCTAAATTAATCCCGCGCTTCAGTCCAGGGTGGCCTGGCACTATTACACTTTCAGTCAGGGCACGGTGGTGGGAAATGTTGCAGAGTACGGTCCCTGCTCATCCTACCTCATCTTCCTGTATCCTCCCAACTTCCTTACAGTTTTACGGAGTCTTCTCGAAAATCTTCATTTCCCCTACGTCGAGCAGGGGAGGGTCATGTGGAGATATCTCACGTGAAATGGGAGTAAGCGAGAAAGTCTAATGTCGACAACCGAAACCGATTTCCCCAAAGGCTTCTACAGTGACCAAATGAGACCCCCCTACGTTCCTCCAGTGACCAAATGAGACCCCCACTTGGAATCCCCACAGTTTAATGTCCTCCGCTCCCACTGCTGTTAAGTTCGTTGAGGACCGCTGAGGTCTGTAAAAACACGAATTCGCCGCCAGTCTGATCAGCACCTTGATCACAATCCAAAAAAGCGAAGACCGCCTCTTAGGATGATTTCTTGTCAAGGGGAACCAGTAACACAATTACTGGTGAAAATGGGTCATACACTTTACCACTCCAGAGAACAATAACGCCTGCTCATCGTCGTACATTAAGCTGTTTTCTCAGGAATAGTTTTGCGTTTACCGATATTTCTTGGAAAATCCTTGTTACAGTCTTGTCTACTGTGGATAGGAGGGTTTTGCGTGGCACCAGCCCGCTTTCCACCAATCCTTGTTGCTTGCCCACTCACACAATTGGTGAGGAACGAAGTGGCACCGCACCAAACCCAGCCCCCTTCCTGAAGCATTCCAGCAACCGCAGTAGACGACACTGCTATCAGAATTCCGTTTTTCTTTTGCTCGTGTGATTATTTCTCTAGAAGTATCGGTTTGCCAAAAACGCAGAAAAAAACTAATTGAATCTACCTCACTTCATAGCATCTTCAAATATTCACAGGTATACAACAAAATCATTACGATAATATCACGACAATCTAGTGTATACAGAAATAGTCACACATACGTACTTCTGGTGGTTTAAGGGGACTAATTGTAAGTGAACATATTACTTATTAACAGAGCAAGTAATCCTTGCACGAGAAGGGTAGAGATGTGTAACAAAATCTGAACGTTATTCGGTTATTACACAACAATATGACAACATAAAAATATTAATTATATAAATATAGCACTAGATAGTTATGTGCAGAACATCATTCGTCGTCGCTCCACAATCCTCATTAACTCCAGGAATGCCTGAAAACAAAATGAACTTCGTGATATCTTTCCTCTATGTATGTACAAGAGAAAAAACGACATCTCTTTCCATTTCCCCCATTTTCTGCCTTTTTAACTGCTTTACTTCATTTCTTTGCCCTACTTATGCTATGCTGTGATCGTCACTGCATACTGGAGCCTGTTTGTAGCTTCTTTCCTACTGCAATGCGTCCACTGGGCGCCTAGTACATCCCATATCCTAGGGGCGAGGAAGGCGTGAATGTGTACGTCATCAGTACATTGCGTCGGTGGCGTTTCTCGTGGAACGTTTTGATCTGAGGCAACTGTCATCCTACTTGTATCAGTCAAAGACATGATTTCAATTGTACGACAAGAGCAAAACCCCATCAAAGCGAAACCGCCGCCACGTTTCAATGAAACATGCAACCACGCCCTCCCCACTGAGATATGAAGTGAAGACATACAAACGGCCCTATTTACAAGTTATTTACAAGTTACTACGTGATTCTTCGCAATCGAGCCAGCTTCTGATTAGAGTCTTCTACATGGGAAAGTTGGCGGAATTTGCTCCCTTAGTTTAACCCATTAACACGAATATCATATCCACATGGCTCGAAAGATTATCCACATGGCCTCGAAAGAGCCGCCGCTCCCACGCTGCAGATGCCAAAACACTATTAAAACACTGAGTATGCTTAGAATTCCTCTTAGAAGTAAGCCTCCTCGTCCCCACCCCCCTCCTCGAACATGTATAGGTCATTGCATCGGCACGAAATTGCCTGGTACGTGCCTGTAAGCTTAGCGCCGGGTGTTTCAACATCAAAACAACAACACGGCGTGGACAACATCCCCTACTATGCATCCACCATTTACTGTGACCTGACCCGCCTCCTAGCAAAAGCTCTACTCACTTCTTCCAACTATTTTTATGAAGATGACCAGAAAACTCGCTTCATAGCTCAAAAACATCAGCATCCTTCACGAATCTTCGGCCACTTCGACTTACCTCGTTGACGCAATCATTGTTCCTTGATGAGATCTCGATGAATGGGCAACCCATGTGTCTGGCGAGAGTTTGCCCTTCAAACGCCGTCACTCGACGCTTCCTATGTAGATCTGACTTGGAGCCGACAAGCACAATTGGAACCTAAAAGAAGGACCAAGTGATGGTTGTGAAAACACACATTAGGCATTAAAATAGTTCCCCCACAGTGACAAACGAGAGGCCAAAGTTCAGTGAGAAATTGTCAAAATTGTTAAAGCAGCTTGAAATCGGGGAGTAGCTGGGGTGCAGGGGGGGGAGGGGAACTGTGCGGAACGTCCTGTCTGTTTTTATAGACAGATACGACATGCGCGCCGCTCCCGTGCTCGGGAAGTAGTGTCTATACCCAGTCTAACCATGAGGCTTCGAAAAAAAGAAAAGCAGTCACTCAAATCATATGCGGTATGGTTACGCCGCTGCGTGGACCTACTTGGGCAGGAAAGCAACCAAGGCGCTTTTAGGATTGAGAGGGGCATTTTGCACTTGCTATTTCTTTTTTCGCTTCATGTTAACAGGATTCACTCTGGTAGTTACCTGTGAACTCCTGTGAAGCTGCCTAATGGTGCCAGTGAGCTACTTTCGCCGGTTGGTTACAGGTATTTACAGGTTTCCACAGAGTGGCCTGAACCAACTTTGCGAAGCACCATCTGGTGCCCCCTCCCCCACCCCGAACAAGCCGAACTGCGCCAGAAACCGAATCCATCGTAAGAAGGTCATGAAGTTTCTAAAGTCCACTTCAAAAGTTGCCCAAAAATAGTATCTGCTTGGAATTTAAAACCCACCTTTCCTCCTCTGGCTCTTTCAATTGCAGTGAAGATATCGGCAGCCTCGTAAAACGATTCACGATCGGTGATTGAATACATTATGACAAATCCTTGAGAAGTTCGAATGCTATGTTCACTATTCTGAAAAGAGATCACGCTTCATTTCGCATGATACAGAAAACTTATAGAAAATCGGTACTCACATTAGAATCTACAATATCTATCATAAAAGTGTTACTGAGGCTGGCTTCCGTACGTTTTCCTAGTAGATCACTGAACAGAATATCATTCCCATATTGTACCCGAGTCTGAAAATGTTTCGAGTAGCCTGACAGTGCTGCCTTTTAGTTACCCTTTGCAAAATGCTATTCGGGAA